GGATAAGAGAAGGCAAATTAAGGGAGGCGGTGATAAGAAGCAAAACAGAGTTTTGAGGATGGACACGAGAGAGAGAGACAGAGAGAGAGAGAGAGAAGATAACAGGATGGAGGGAAATATACAGTTAGTAATCATAACTATGAATGTGAATGGGATGAGTTCACCTATACAACAGAAAGGGATAGCAGAATGGATTAGAAATCAGAATCCAACAATTGGTTGTTTAAGAGACACACTTGAAACAGAAAGACACACACAGAATTAAAATGAAGGGCTGGAACAAAATTTAATATGCTTCAGCTAGGGTAAAAAAGGCAGGGATACCAATCATGAACTTAGACAAAGAAAAAGCAAAAATAGACCCAATTAATAGAAATAGGGAAACTACAAGATGCTAAAAGGTACTATAGACAATGAAGTAATAGCAAAAAAATTTCCAGCAAGTTTCTCTGATAAACACCTCATTTCTCAAACATATCGGAGACTGAGTCAAATTTATAAAAATAGCAGCCACTCCACAAATGATAAACAGCCAAGGGATATGAACAGGAAGTTTCAGAAGAACTCAAAGCTATCTACAGTCATATGAAAAAATGCTCTAAACCACTACTCCTTAGAGAATTAAAAAAAAGTCATGACCAAAGAAAAAGCCTAGACATATTTGGTCAAATTCCAGAGCTCCCTAGTCAACGACAAAATATTTCAAGCAGCCAGAAGGAAACAATTCAATATTGTGAAGCTACAGTCAGGCTCACACAAGATTTAGCAGCTTTGCATTAAAGGAGGTGAGGGTTTGGAATATGATATAGGAAAGGAGCTACAATTACAACCAAGAATCACCTACACAACAAACAACAAAACTCTGTGTATAATCCTTCAAGGGATTTTAAGGCAAGGCAAATTAAAACACAAGTATCAGAAATGAGAGAAATGCCAAAGGAGATGAGGGAAAAACAGGTACATTAATGAACTGCTAGCTGAGTAGTAAAATGGCGAAACCATGTACAAAAATATTTGCGGCACCTGTTTTTGTGGTGGCAAAGAATTGGAAATCAAGGAGATGTCAATCAATTGGGGGATGGTTGAACAAGCTGTGGTAGATGATTATAGATGGAGTATTACTGTGTTATAAGAAATGAGAAGGGGGGGTGGTTTCAGAAAAACATGGGAAGACCTAAATGAACAAACTAAAGTGAGAAGAACTGGGAGATCACTGTGCACACTAATAGCTACATTGTAATGATGATCAACTGTGAAAGACTTGGCTGCTCTGATTAACACAATGATTCAAGACAATTTCAAAGGATTCATGACGAAAAAAAGCTATCTACCTTCAGAGAGAGAACTGATGAATTCTAAGTGCAAGCTAAAGTATAATTTTCTTAACTTTCTTTATTTTTCTTGCTTTTGGGGGGAAACATGGCTAATATGGAAATGTTTCACATGATATCACACATATAATCGACAGCATATTGCTTGTCTTCTCAGCGAGTATGAGAGGGAGGCAGAGAATTTGAAACAAAATTTAAAAACAAAAGAATGCAAAAAATAAATAATAATTATTATTTTTTAAAGCAAGAGGTCTTTAAGTGATCAAAAAGTTCTAGGCAGAAAGTCAACTTCTATACAGACACAAAACCTCCAGGGTAGACTATCAAAATTCTAAATGAAAAAGGACTCTGTGGTACAGAATAATATGATTAGAGCAAAAGAAAGATAAAAAATCCTGGTGTTCGAAGCCTGATTAAAATTTAACTACCTATCTTTGGCTTTAGTTCTACTGTATCTACCCACAATCTACCTCCAAGTTTCACTCAGCTTATCCTGGCCATCCAAAGCAGTTGACCTATCGATCTCTTAGTGTTTCTAATTCTCATCCCACTTACAAATAGTATTTCAAGCCTGGTTCTTTTGAGACACTGAGTACCTTCAATGAAAATCTGCATACTGACATTTCTAGTTTTTCCTACTAACACCTCACAAACGCTTCTATCCAGCTCTCTACCTAACTCCCTTAGGGATACTGACATTGATTGTTTAACTGATCTCATTTCTGACACATGGGATGCTACTGCTAACAACAGGAACATATTCAAGAATTCATATACAAGGAGGAAAGGGCTTGTTCTCAACATTCTTGAGTTATTCTTCTACACCAAGTGTCTGATACTACTCATGAATGCGCTCATTTTTTACTAAACATTCACACATTTATTAGATTTATTTTTACAATGAATAGAGGCATTTGTGTTATCTTTTCTGTTATTTCTAGGTTTGGGGTCATTCCCTTGATAACCACATGCACAGGCCAGAGGAATTTTACATAGTTCTTTATACACACTACAGTCAATCTGACACAGAAACTATTTTTTCTGCCCATTTCCTCTGATTTCTAATTCCAAATGCTGAGAACTTTTATTAGATATTATATGGTGGTGTCCTAAGTCACTTCACAGAGAGTAAGCAACCTTACAATCCAAATTTATTAAGCTTTCCCCCCAACTCCAGGTCCCCACCAACACCTTAGAAATACCAATTTACTTAATAATTTAGTACTGGATATGTGAAGAGGTATAGGAATTTGGAAAGAATCTAGGATGTTCCTAAAAGTTAGTGGGGTTAAAAAATGAATTCTTTGATACACATATATTCTATCATCATTGGCCTCTGTTTCCTAGAAGTAGGAAAAAGGCAAAAAAAAATGTTTTATCAAGGGTTTTCTGTATTGACAATTTATTTCAGAATTTCTCTGCCAGAAGAACTTTAATCACGTGACTTTCAGATTATGTTAAGAGTGAATGTATTTTGAAATCTCTTTCCCATCTACGGCACATTTTAAAAAATAATGTAAACTCTTTAGGTTTTTTTGTTTTTGTTGACTGACTCTTCATGACCCCATTTGAGGTTTTCTTGGCAAAAGTACTGGAATGGTTTGCCATTTTCTTCTCCAGCTCATTTTACACATGAGGAAATGGAGGCAAACAAAAGTGACTTGCCTAGGGTCACACAGCTACTAAGTATCAGGGGCCCCATTTGAACTCAGATCTTCCTGACTTCAGGCCCTGTGCTCTATCCGCTGTACCACCTAGCTGCCCAAACTCTTAAGTATTACTAGTTTATTTAATGAATATTCTCAATTCATAAATTTCATTCTAAAGTCTAACTGACCTATGAAATATGTTAATTTTTAAAATTACAAAGAGATTCAGGCAAGATTAATGTACTTAGAATTTTGTCAGACAGTCAGGTGAAAGCTTCCTATCTCATACATTTAACAACAGTAATTTTTAAATGATGTTAATGCTTAAGTCCCTCTCCTAACTTCATTCCCACCTCCACCTCTTGGAATTCCTGGCTTCCCTCAAATGCATAGCTTAGGTACCACCTCCTATACCAGAATGTTCTAATAGCTCCAGAGGAAATTACTGTATTCTGCATATACTTCCTAGCTACTTTTATGTTCTTCTCTCTCTTTGCCCTCCCGAACAACCCCCCCTTTCCCAGTAGAATGGAAACTCCTTGAAAGAAGAGGCTGTTAAGTTTTGTTTTGTATCCCCTAAATGTCTGGAATAATACTCAATGAAATACTGTAATTAGGGGGAAGAAAAATAAGTGCAATTATTAACATTAACACATACAAGGGTGAAGAGGAAAACTTGGACCAAGATAATTAGATTCGCCCCTTACCCCCATCCTCACATGTCAAGATCTGAGATCACCATCGAAGATCATACATAAACCTAGTGCTGGAAAGGACCTCAGAAGCCATCAATTCCAATCCCCTTATTTTACAGATGAGAAAACTGAGGCCTAAGGAGGTTAAGGAGCCTATCCAAAGTCACATAGATGGTTTAACTGTTATTAAATATGTTTATCAATAATTCAGTAAAGGCTCAGATGGTATGCTCATCAAATTTACCCACGCTAAAAAAGTTGAGAATAGAAAACCCAAAGGATGACAGAGTTAGGATCCAAAAGGATCTTGACAGGCTAGGCAGGGGTGGGGAACCTGCGACCTTGAGGCCACATGTGGCCTCAGGTCCTTGGGTGCAGCCTTTTGCCTGAATCCAAGCTTTACAGAACAAATTCTTTTACTAAAAGGGGATTTGTTCTGTGAAGTTTGGATTTGGTCAAAGGGACACACTTGAGGACCTAGAGGGCCACATCTGGCCTCAGGCCAAAGGTTCCCCACTCCTGGGCTACGGTATTGGATCGAACCTAACAGATGAAATTCAATAGAGATTAATTTAAATTCTTACCAAGAAAAGAATAAAAGAAAAAAACAAAAATTTCACAAATATGAGATGGGGTAAGTTAGACGGCAATTGGTCTGACAGCTGTCTTCAAACATCTGAAGGCTGTCACATGGAGGAGGGATTAGGTTCTTTTTGGCCCGCAGTGACAGAAAGAGGAGCAACGAGCAACAGGTGGGAGTTCAAAAGATGCAATTTTAGGTTCAAAGTTCGGTGAGGAAAAAAAAACTTCCCTAAGAATTAGAACTGTCCAAAAGCTGAATAGGAGGCAGTCTGAAGATGTGAGTTCTAATCCAACCTCAGACTGTCTGCCTCAGTTTCCTCATATGCAAAATGGGAATAGGATAATTTTACAGGACAATAGGATAACAACCACGCAGGGTTGTTGTGATGATCAAATGAGCTTACACAAGTAAAAGTGCTTTGCAAACCTTAGAGTGTTATCTAGCTATTATTATAAATTGGTCTTCCTCTGGAATCTTAAGCATGTTTTTTGAGGGACTGCCAAAGAGGTCCAAAAGGTTTAAGAACCCTGTAGATCTCTCTCAACGAAATGCCAACTTTTACACGTAAAAAAGATATCCAGAGTACTTTAGGGGGAAAGGACTGCAAAACCTAATACAAAGTGTCCCAACAGGGTTCCAACCCTCGGGCCACGCGTCCCCAGGAAGAGGGTACGCTGGGCGCAGAGAGGGAGGGGAGGGGAAGGCACGGGGCCGTGCCTCGGCGGGCCCCCGGCGCACTCACCCACAGCGTGTTGAAGTAGTCCAGCCCCTGGCGGATGAAGACGCAGGCGTAGGCCAGCAGCACCTGCACGCCCAGGTAGCTGCCCAGGTGGTAGAGGGCGTAGAGCAGGGGCGCGCCCGCGCCGAGCAGCAGCAGCAGGCGGCGGCGCCGCAGCACCTGCTCGCCCAGCGCCTCCACGCCGTAGTTGGCGAAGCAGAGCGGCAGTAGCAGCGCGGCCAACACGATGGGCGTGTGCGCGCGGTGCAGACGGCGCAGCCAGCGGCGGCCCAGGCGCGTGAGGGAGCTCTTGAAGGGGTGCAGGAAGGTGCCGCACAGCACGGCCCACAGCAGCGGCCGCAGGAAGGCCTCGAGGATGAAGTACACGAGCACGGCGGCGCCGCAGCACAGGCACACGAACAGCACAGCGCCCGTGTTGTAGAAGGCCTGCTTGATGGGCTTGTCGAAGCGCAGCGCCAGCCCCACCGGGGGGACCCCGCCCCCCGCCTCCCCAGGCGCGGGCGCGGGGGCCCTCGTTGGACCTTCCCGCAGCGGCAGCGGTAGCGGCGGCGGATCCCTGGCCACTGCCCCTCGGTTGGCGCCTCCGGGAGCCCGAGCCACTGCTGCCCCCGTCTCGCTATCCTCTCCCCGCGGCGATAGCTGGGCAGGACTGGAAGAGCCCGAGGGCGCCTTGGCCGCAGCGCCCAGGCTGTCAGCCATGGTGCCGCCGCCTCGCTCGCCGGCGGGGGAGCTATGGAGAAGGTGCGGGAAACGGTATTGGCCCCACGGAGGGCGCGGGGGTTCATGGGACTTGTAGTTCTTCGGGCGCTGGGATTCTTGAGTGAGTCGGAATGAAACTACACCTCCCTAGAGGCACCTTGTATCTTTTGCCCTGGGGCTTTTTACGCTCCTGCCTGGTGTCAACTAACTCCCTGGGGCAGCTACCTTGCAGAAATTCTGGAAGATCTAGTCTGCCGGTCTACCCTGGGGTCCGGAAGAGGCGATGGAAGTACCAGCTGTGTGTTAATCCCGAGTAAAGACCTTTCACCCATTTTCTAAAATGAACAGTCGAACAGGTCGAGAATAACTGATTAGGCAGCAGTTAAAGAGTAACAAAAATTTGAATTACGCATCCTTAAATAAAGGCAGGAATTAAAATTGAGGGTCTGTAAGCAAAGGCTTCAGAAAGGACTGGTGTGGGAGTCGAAGGCTTGGTTACTTAACTAACTTTTGTTGGTTCACTTTCTGGACTTCAGTGCCCTCATTTACGAAATGAGGGGTTTGGAAAACAGGACTTGTAAGGTTCCAGCTTTAAAGCTCACGGGCTTTTGATTCTAAACAATAGCAAAACCGACGGTAACCCTAAACCCCAACTTCCTGACTGCCATGTTTAGGTATAAAATAAATTAACAGCTCTCTTAGACTAAGCCCCAGTTTTCTCACTTAAGGGGCTACTGTGATAAAGCTTCTTATGAGAAGACCAAAAGTAAACATCTGGCAGAGCAGCTAACTGCCTCATTCCTGGTCCTACTTGTTTTTACACATTCCAACACCAGAGGTCCAATAGTAAATCTTTACTGAAAGCAACAGTAGACTGCCCTACCAATTGGTTTTTCTTTCTCTTTTCATAAATATACATATATTCAAACAGCCTTTGTAGTGGGTTGGGGATCCAGGAAAGGACTGCTGTCTTTGTATTTTTTTTTGTTTTGCATATAATCATGAGAGGATTTTTGAGGGGAAAATGAAGCTGTTTAGGTCCTCTCTAAACTCTAGGACTGTTTGTTCCACTAATTGTGCCTAAAGGAGGAGGGAGGAAGCAGACACACAAGATCCTCTTTGGGATAGGAGTGGTGGGAATGTTGTAAAGAAAATGGAAGTCTAGGAAGAGTTAAGTGGGAGGAAACTCATTCTCTGAGTAGAACCTTGGAAGGTTCCAAGTATATCAGTAGAAAAGCTCTCCTCAAGGCTCAGATCAAATGCCTGTTCTGATTCTCCCCAGTTGTTAGTACCCTCCCTACCTTCCCAAAACTACTTTGTAGTTACTTGTGTGTGTGTGTGTGTGTGTGTGTATGTATGTATATATATGTAATTTGGGGGGGGGTGAGCAATCGGGGTTAAGTGACTTGCCCAGAGTCACATACCTAGTAAGTGCTAAGTGTCTAAGACTGGGGTTTGTTTTGGTTTTTGCTAGGCAGTGGGGTTAAGTGACTTGCCCAGGGTCACACAGCTAGTAAGTGTTATGTGTCTGAGGCAGAATTTGAACTCAGGTCCTCCTGAATCCAGGGCCAGTGCTCTATCCACTGCGCCACCTAGCTGCCCCTATTTGTGTATATTTTACATCCACTTCTCTGTGTACCTAAGCTTAGCACAGTGCCTGGCATATGCATGTTGACTAGTTTACATGCTATTTTTACTCCCAATAAAATGTAAGCTCCTTGAGGGCCAGAATGCCCTTGTACTTTACAAATGGTAGCGATGATATAGCACTTTTAGGTTTGCAAAGCTCTGTGTATAGGCTAGCTCATTTGATCCTCACAACCACCCTGTGAGTATTATTCCCATTTTACAGATGAAGAAACTGAGGCTGAGATAATGTTAAGTGGCTTGCTCAGGGTCACACAACTAGTAAATGTCTGAGTTAGGATTCTAATTCAGGTCTTCCTAACTCCAAGTTGAATTGTTATTGAAAATTAGGATAATTTTATTTTTGTCTTCTTTGGGGGGGAGAAAAGAAAAACAGTCAATTTGGTATAGTGGGAAAAGTTCTGGCCTTAGAGTCAAGACTGGAGTTTGAATCTCAGCACTGATCTAATCAGAATCTATATCTAATGATATAATCCAGACGTTTTGGACCAGGCACTTCATACATTATTTTCCAATTTGAATTAAGTGCTGTTTGTTCGTGGATCACCTTGGCCAAATAAGCCTTCACCTAATGGCGGTCTTGTTGACAATGAACCACCCCATACTTAATGAGCCATAGCTATTACCACATTTGTAGCTTTATCAGGTTTTGTGGAGCCATTCAAAGCTTGTGCTTCACTGGCATGAGAAACCAGGATCACCTCCACATTCACAGTAAGGTATTAGAGTAGGATTTTTGTAGAGGAAAGTGCTAAGTAAATATATTTCATGTCATCCTAAATAGCCCAACATAATCAGTGTCTAGAGTATGAAGTTTTTTTCTTGTCCAGATGGACTTGAGACTTGTAGAAGATCCATACCAGCTAATTTCCAACCATGCTACAAGCAAAGCAGGGCAACTTTTTTTTTTATCCTTGGAATAAAAAGAAATATTTTATCAGTACTCTTAATATAGTGGACTACAGGTAGATGGGTGCAGCATCCTGAGCATCTCTGGAATGTCATCATCATCATCATAGCTACCATTTATATAGCACTTTATGGTTTTCGAAGTGCTTTACAAACATCTTGTTTTATCTTCCCAACAACCCTGAGAGGTGGACACTATTATTATTCCCATTTGACAGCTGAGAAAATAGAGGCATACAGCGCTCAAATGATCCTCAGGGCCACACAGCTAGTAATTATCTGATATGAATTCAGGTCTTACGGACTCCAGGTCCAGTCCTCTATCTGTTGTATCACCTAGTTGCATTGTTAGTGTCTTCACAACTCATGTGATCAATCAGTGTGGGAAGATGAATCAAAGACTACTCCATGAGAGCCGATCATGAGATTTGTCTCCAACACAACCATACCAACTTAAAAAAATTAAAATTAATCCAATTTAATTAAAATTGAATAGCAAAAGGGGCATTTCCAGACACACACACACAGTAGAATAGAAAAAGAAGATTGAACAAATGAAATTATATTTAAGTAAGCCACCTAGCACAGTGCCTGGCACATAGTAGGTACTTAATAAATGCATGTTCCCTTTCCCTTTCCTCTACTTGGAACTGTGAATCATGTACCATTTGCTTTTATATATATATACACACACATACAATTAAACAAAACTTTTTTTTAATGTAAATTTATTTATTTTTAGTTTTCAACATTCACTTCCACAAGTTTTTGAGTTCCAAATTTTCACTCCATCTCCCCCTCCCCCCACCCCAAGATGTCATGCATTCTGAATATCCCTTCCCCTAGTCTGTCCTCTCTTCTATCTCTCTCCCCTTCTCTTATCTCCTTCCCCTTCTGTTTTCCTGTAGGGCAGGACAGACTTCTGTACCCCATTTCCTATATTCCTTATTTCCTAGCAGATTGTGAAAACATTTTTTTAAAACTTTAGGTTTCAAATTTTCTCTCTTCCTCCCTCCCCAGCCACCCTCATTGAAAAGGCAAGCAACTCAATATAGGTGGTACATCTGCAGTTATGCAAAACACGTCCATAATAGACATGTGAAAAACTAACTCTATTTCCCTTAATCCTATCCTGCCCTCCCATTTATTCTATTCTTTTTTTTTTGACCCTGTCCCTCCTCAGAAGTATTTACTTCTGATTACCCCCTTTCCCAATCTGCCCTCCTCTCTATCATCCCCCTGCTCTCTTGTCCCCTTCTCCCCCTATTTTCCTGTAGGGTAAGACAGATTTCCATACCCAACTGAATGTGTATGTTCTTCCCTCCTTAAGCCAAATCCTATAAGAATAAGAGTCCCTCATTTCCTCTCACCTTCCCTGTTTCCCCTCCACTGTGAGAGACTTTTCTGTGGTTTTTTTTTGTGAGATAATTTATCCCATTCTACCTCTCCCTTTCTTCTCCGAGTATCATCCTCTCATCCCTTAATTTTATTCTCCAGATATGACCCCTTAATCTTCAACTCACCTTGTGCCCTCTATCTATCTATCTATACATACATACATACAATTTTTTTCCTTCAACTACCCTAATACTGACAAAGTTCTCATGAGTTACAAATATCATCTTTCCATGCAGGAATGTAAACAGTTCAATCTTAATAAGTCTCTTATGATTTCTCTTTCCTGTTTACCTCTTCATGTTCCACTGAGTCCTGTATTTGAAAGTCAATTTTCTGTTTAGCTCTGGTCTTTTCATCAGGAATGCTTGAAAGTCCTCTATTTCACTGAATGACCATTTTTTCCCCTGAAGGATTATACTCAGTTTTGCTGGGTAGGTGATTCTTGGTTGTAATCCTATGTCCTTTGCCCTCCGGAATATTATATTCCATGCCCTGTGGTCCTTTAATGTAGAAGCTGCTAAATCTTGTGTTATCCTGATTTGTGTTCCACAGTACTTGAATTGTTTCCTTCTGGCAGCTTGTAATATTTTCTCCTTGACCTGGGAACTCTGGAATTTGGCTACAATATTCCTAGGAGTTTTCCTTTGGGGATCTCTTTCAGGAGGAGATCTGTGGATTCTTTCAATTTCTATTTTGCCCTCTGGTTCTACTATATCAGGGCAGTTTTCCTTGATAATTTCTTGAAAGATGATGTCTAGGCTTTTTTTTGATCATGGCTTTCAGATAGTCCAATAATTTTTAAATTCTCTCTCCTGGATCTATTTTCCAGGTCAGTTGTTTTTCCAATGAGATATTTCACATTGTTTTCTAATTTTTCATTCTTTTGGATTTGTTTTACAGTGTCTTGATTTCTCATAAAGTCACTGTCTTCCAATTGCTCTATTCTAATTTGTAAGGAAGTGTTTTCTTCAGTAATCTTTTGGACTTCCTTTTCCATTTGGCCAATTTTGCTTTTTTAGGGCATTTTTCTCCTCATTGGCTTTTTGGACCTCTTTTGCCATTTGGGTTAGGCTGTTTTTTAAGGTGTTATTTTCTTCAGTATTATTTTGCGTCTCCTTTAGCAAGCTGTTGACTTGTTTTTCATGATTTTCTTGCATCACTGTCATTTCTCTTCCCAGTTTTTCCTCTACTTCCCTTACTTGCTTCTCAAAATCCCTTTTGAGCTCTTCCAAGGCCTGGGACTGATTCATATTTTTCTTGGAGGCTTTGGATGTAGGAGCTTTGACTTTGTTGTCTTCTTCTGGTTGTATATTTTGATCTTCTTTTTCACCAAAGTAAGATGATATAGTCTGACTCTTTTTGCGCTGCTTGCTCATGATCCCAGCCAATTACTTGAGTTTTAAACTCCTTGTTAAGGTACGAATCTGCTCCCAATGTGGAGAATGTACTGTCCCAAGCTTGGGGTTTGTACAGCTGTTTTCAGAGATACTTGTAGGGACTGTAAATTTTCAGTTCTTCCAAGGTGGTATGATAAGGGGCGAGGTGTTTACTCCTTTCCTGGCCTGTGACTACAAGTACTCCTTTCTGTCCTGTAACTGTGAGAAGGGGTTCCTCTCTACAGCTGCTAGAAGCTCTACCACGCCAGCACTCCTCCTCACCCCAGCACCTCTGCCCAGAACTGTGACCCAGATCCAATCATGGGCAAAGCAAGAGATTCCTGCCTCAGCACTGGCAAAGAGATCCCTGCAGTCCCTCTCTGATCAGCCACTGGTTTCCCCCTCAGTCTGTGGGCGGAAGCTTGGGAAGCAGCTGCCCCCCCCGCCACTGCTTTGGGGAATGGAGCTGAGACCCCATCTTCCTGTCTCAGCACCGCAGAAACAGACTTTTCCCACTGACCTCCTAAATTGTCTTTGGCATTTGTGGATTAAGGAGTCTGGAAACCGCCACAGCTGCCTAAGATTCAGTCCTCTGAGGCCTACTCCAGGTTTGCTGGGCGTGCCGCGCCACGCTGCTGCGCTCCCAGCCTGGCGCGATACACCTTTCTGATCAGTCATCCAGGTTGGAAATTTGTTTCACTCTTTTTTTTTGTGGATTCTGCAGCTTCAGAATTTGTTTGGAGCCATTTTTTATGAGTATTTGGAGGGGTTTGGAGGAGAGCTCAAGCAAGTCACTGCTTTCACTCTGCCATCTTGGATCCGCCCCCTAAACAAAACTTTTAAAGCTATCTTGTTTGTCTGCTATGATTGTATAAATTGGTTTTCTGATTGTGTTCACTCAACTCTACATTAGTTCCCACATACCTGTTCTTCACTCATTATAGCTTAACTCCAGAGCAAGCTTCCAACTTTATTTTTTCTGTGCTAATGATTGGTCAGTTGGTATATTTCTAACCCTAACCCAACTCGGGTACCCACAGCC